GTTTGGACTCTTGAACCGTCAACTTCAGGTATAGATTGCAAAGTTAGTTTTGTTGGGTCCTTTCGTGAAAATAGTTCAGCTGACTGTAAAACTAATTCCCTACATCAGCGTCGTCCGGCCCTTTTTTGCAGAAAAGTCTTCAGATGCTAAAGAGATCAGTTTTGGGGAGCAGCTCCTGAAGGGTCCTCAGAGGTATACTTCTTCTTAAAAACAGCATTTTCATTCAGAGTCAAGCGGTTTCCCGAGCTCTGAGTCCTGACAGCTAAATAGCAGCATGGCAGCAGCAGGGAGACCACAACGAGGTGTTTGGCTGCTGAAGGCCTTTCTGCTCACCACAATCAGCCAACAATTTGTCAGCACACCGCCCAGTAAATCAGGAAGCTCTGACACTGTTATTATCGTCCCTGCAGCTCCTCAGAATAGAGCTGCCGTTAGTTTCGTCACGTGACGAGGCTCAACCTTTGCTGCTACACAGAGTGATGTCATCTGAGTTTCTACTGTTTACTGATTGTCATGACGAAAGATAAAACTGTCTGTGATGACCTTCCACAGTGAGGATTATAAACCTGTGCAGGGTTTGGTGTGTTTGTTTAGTCGTCATTCTGATGGGAAAGATAGTTTCTGTTGTAATCATCCGTCTGTCTGTACAGGCCTGCATGACTACAGTGACTTAGTGCTGCCAGAGGTGCCTGAACACATCCTCTGTCGACACTGTTACTCAGACCTGTACCTGAAGGCGCCACACAAAGGCCCCTTTCAGCTCCACATGTAGAACAGTGTTTCCCACAGAATGACAGACAACTTGGGCGGCGGCCGTGAGGGCTTATTTCTTATTTCATCATTTTGATGTAGCCTATCAAAACAAAACCAACTTGAAACGAGTGACATCTGCACAGTTGTGTTCACTGTCGCTTTACCTGGTCCGTGCTTGTAAAATATCCACCGTGTCCTCGACTTTTAACGTATTAGATAGCAGAATGCTGTATTGGGTCACTAAATATGCCTGGCTGGCCTGCCTTAGTAAAGTCTATGTGTGGGAAACACTAGACTTTTTAAAAGATGACTTTAAATACAAACATGCACAGAGATCTTTGTGTATTTTGGAGGCGCATCACAGCTTCTGTAAATGGAAAACCTTTGATACGTTTGCTTGTGGGTTGAAGTCCAGTGTTTCCAGGTTGTTGGACGTGAGCTGCTCCTCCTCTTCAGAGGATCTGGTTTCTCAGACTGAAAGGTCACGGACGTGTCGCTGCAATACACAGCCAGTGTCCTCAACGTGAACCGACATGAATGTGAGGATGTGCAGAAGCAAAGCTTCAGATCGTCTGTCAGTGTCAACACGCTGCTGGTCGTGTTAGCTGACCAGACTCCGAGCCTGCAGCCCGGTGAATCACCCCAAAGAAGGCTGATGATTATAATGAGTGCAGTCCAGTCATTATCAGGGTTATGTAATACCACTGTGAACACAGACTGCAGCGTTTTGACCCTCAGAGTTCCACTTCCTGCCTCTGTGGAAGTAAACAAACTCCTTCTGGACGGACGCCCATTGTTCCTGTTGCGCAGAATAAAGAATAGAAAGTTTTTCATTTCCCTATGTGCTGTTTTCCTGGAAGAGCTGCCTGAAAGAAAGCAGGACTGAGACTAAAGAAAAGCCGGATTCATACAATGAAGAGTGTCGAAATACAGTCAGGATGACACGTAGACACAAATGCAGCCTGTTCTTAACTTAACTTTTAGATTTAATGAAGTCAGGCAGCATTAGTGTGTGGCAGATCCCTGCTCAGCTGCAGCAGGCAGATTATCTCATTACACAGCAGCTGTTAGCAGCTGGACTCACACAAACACACTCAGTGGATGGTTATTAGCAGCAGTTTTCAGGGGAATCCCGGAGCTTTGAAGCGACAGCAGAGGTCCAGATGTGAGGAGGGGTTCAGGATTGTCAAAGTATTGCAAATGAAAGTTTTCTATTTTAAGATGAGATGAAACTGCGAGGGGGGTCGACGACTGTTCATCTGACAGAAAGCTTCTTAACAGTCACAGATTTGTCTGCAAAAACACTTGACTCCTCAGGGATCCGTGCTCCTATACATGTGGCTGATGCACAAACATCATCACTCAGTGTTGCTCACCGTTACTGTGCTGTAGTTTAGGTGGGGAAGCATCTTATTAACAGCTGAACACCTAAATGTGAGATGTGTGTACATCGTACGCAGATGATACTCCGATATATCTCCCTGCGTAGCCCAGTAACCCTTCTGCTCTGTCGTGTCAGTTTTTATCCTGGTGCTGAAACATGCAGGTGTATTAAGTCAAAGCTCTTCCCTGGTCCTGTTTTCACCATCTGAAAAATCCTCAATCACCAAAATGTGACCAGTTTTAAGTTTTAAATCTGCAGAAGTTTGTTTGTTTCCTCACAGCTGTTAAAATACCAGGAACAGAGAACCCAGCTCCACACCTTCACCTGGGTTTCTGTTTGATTTGGGTTGATTTTAAGATTTTATTGATAACCTTTAAAGGCTTTTCATGGCTTCAGATTACATTTCAGAGCTCTTACCTGCTGGCTGTTCCTTATGTCAAGACTTTGCTGTCAGGGTAATTAAATCATTGTAACATATCATAAAACATTATGATTGTTTAGTAGTGAGTCATAATGATTTGCTTCTGTAGTGAGTTGGATGGTTTAAAGAGCACTTCCTTGTAAAACACTTGGAATCTTTGAAGAGTCTTTGGAATTTAGATGAGCCGACCGTCAGTCATCAGCATTTCAACCCTCAGATGTTTGTTCTGGCCTTGAAGCGCCCCTAGCTCAAACCTTAATCCTTCACAAATGGGTCTCATCTCTGCTGCCTGCCAGCTTCTTGTCTCAAACAGAAATCAACACTCTGGTCCTGCAAGACGACGGCAGCCGTCTCAGACACACAGGTACCTGGACTCAGTCTCTGGGCTCTGCTCTCAGAGTTATTTTTGGTCCAGTTTCCTCTGCTGCGGATGTAGGCCACACATTCCTGAGGATCCCGTGCTCTGGCAGCACAGCTGCTGATCAGAAGGGATTAGTTTAATTTGCCGTGTTTTTAAGAGACTGGTCACGATATCTGGGACTGTTTTTATCCCGACCAAGGCCGAGTCTGAGAGCCTCATCCTGCCGGCTCATTCTGCTCCATTTCACAAATCCTGGTTTTATCTAGCAGCAGATCTCACACACCCTGTCTTCAGCCCGACTGTTTCTGCAGGCAGCAGTGACACAACTTTTCACTAAACTGAATACCCCACCAGCAGTTTGTTTTCAGGATTTTTCATCATTTTATTCAATGAAGAATTACTGAAGAGGAGAAAAGGCTTGCGAACTGTTGTAGCATGATGTCCTCCTGACTATAAACCAGCAGACAGAGCAGCTTCAGTAAACCTGGACGGTGACAGGAAGCTAATAAGCTACGCTAGCTGCCAAGATTCTTTGGTTCAGCTTCCCAGATGGGGCTAATTTGTGGTTTCTGTGACTGTAAACTAAATATATTTGGTGTAGGACTGTTTGTCAGACAAAACGATACATTTAAAGGAGCCACCTTGGGCTTTGGGAAATTGTGATGGGATCATTTTTCACCATTAAACGATGCATTGATCTTTGGAGAGACTAGTCGACATATTTTTTGCAGCCCTGGTGTGGTGTGTTGCAGATCGCAGCCTCTGCAGGTCACCAGCGCGGCTGTGGAGTCGTGTTTGGACTCATCGTCCTCTACAGACCGCAGAGAAAGATCAGACAGTTGTTCAGACTGCTGCACGTCACCGAGCAGCGACGCCACACACAGCTGATCACCAGTAGGTTCCTCAGCTGGTTGTGTGCACGAGCCGACTCGATGTAAGAAGCATGAAACAGTCTGCTGACTGACTTCAGAGTGTGTGACGTGGTTGATCCTCTGTTTCGACACACTGCAGCGTTAATCCTAATGGCCTCTGTCTGCCGTGCAGCAGCTGCTCGTGCCCTCTGCTCCTCGTTCGCGCTGCTCGCCGCCTGCCACGCTGCTCAGCACAAAGAAACTCTCGTTAAATGTCCAAAATGCTCCAGTTTCTCCGCCAGCGTACGCACACCTGCAACCTGAGCTGAGGACTATTTGTAGAGCAGCTGGGAGGCGGTGAGCTCTGGTTTCTGGCTCAGTTTGAAAGGTCAGCCAGGATCGTGGCTGACCTGGTGTGTTTAGAGACAGGAGGCACAGATTCAACGGAGGGGGGGCACTTAAAAAGGACTTAACTGGTATAAGACTCAAGTTTGACTTACATGCTTAAGAGAGTATCAGAAGAGTCACCAATCAATCGCCTATCGATAACCTAATCGTCTTGTTGTTTCTGCACTAGGATGAGTGTTAATACACACTAGAGACAAAACCAAACACCGGCTCCCCACCAGTTTCTAATACTTTCTTGGAAGGGAAGAGCTCGAGAGGTCTTTAAATCCTGCAAACTAAAAGACATACAGATCACAGGGGCTTTAGCTTGTGTCACTACATATCTTAGTCGGGCACGCCTTGTGTTGTTATGTTTCAAGTTGGGTGACCAAGATATGCATCAGTTTTATCAGCCAAAGGCACCATACGTGTTCCAGGACAGCTTTTACACACAGAAATCATTTAAATATGTTTAGATTGCTTGTGCGTCCGCAGGTTTTCATCTTTCTTACGTGTAAACAAAAAAATAAGGGTATCATTTCTGTTCCCTAAAGGTACATTTGTCAAAAAAGTACGCTGTAAGGTTCGGAAATGGTCCTCAAGGTGTTAACAACAACAACTGGTTTTAACAAGCTTAATGTCCAGGCAAAGATGCAGAACATCAGTGATCCCTGCCACCAGGACATAAAGGGGTGGTGATGGTCAAGTGGATAAGACACATGTCTTTGGTGTGATAGACCGGGGTTCACTTCCCCACTGTGAGACATCCACCATTGTGTCCCTGAGCAAGGCGTTAACCCCTCGTTGCTCCAGAGGTGTGCGACCTCTGACATGTCTAGCAATTGTAAGTCGCTTTGGATAAAAGCGTCAGCTAAATGAATAAATGTAAATGTGTGTCTGGTGTTTTTGTGTTTGAGCTCCGACTCTGGGCACTGACTGGGGCCCAGTGCACCATGGGAGCAGCAGGTTTACAGGAGCGGGGCTCTCAGTGGGCCAGTCGTCACGCGAAGGGTCGGCTGAGGTGGATTAGACCTGATTGTTCCCTGAAAGCTCCTCAGTGTGACATAAGCTGATTTCAGCTCACATATGATCCTTTGTTCTGGACCCGGTCCTCCGTCTGACCCGGTTTGCGTCTCGCTCAGCGTGTAAGCAGATTTAGGTCCCAGGTCAGAGTGAAAGGAGAGTCAGGATCCTCCCCCATCAGTAAGGAGCCGGAGAGCCTGACGCTGCTCTGCTCGGCGCTACAGGGACAGGTTTCTATTTTAGGGTGAAGACTGTAAATATTTAAACACAAAGTGTGACGCAGGGAGGAGGAAGACCTTTTTATTGTTTCTGTTCCCAGTGGTTAAAAATCTCCGTCTCTGTTGTGCTTAAAGTCCCCAGAGAAAAAAAGGCGTTTTAAACTCCAGATTAACACGAACAAGAGAAACACGCAGGTTTGATGAGGATCCTTGAATATGGCTCTCAAAGAGTAGCGACCCGGATATGTAGGCCGTCTGCAGAGGGACATTTTACAGTAAAGTTCGATCCAGGTTTTGAATTTGTTTAAGACACCAAAACACTGCAGAGGCCGGTTCATGACGGCAATTATTTTATCTTTCAAATAGCGAAACAGTAATCACACATAATCACAAAACTTTCCTTGTTAACAAAATATCAAATGTTTGATTTAATTCTTTTAAATCACAAACGTTAAGATATTTATTTTGTTGAGGAAAAAGAGACTGAAAACAGATTTTATTTAATTTTACTTATCTATTGTTGTTGAAAACAGATTTGCAGAAGTGACCGTCTGGTTTCAAAAATCAGCCTTTAAACCTGAAAGAAATAATGATTTGACATTTATCCTGATATTTATCGATATCGACTGATTAACAGTTTAGGACATATCACCCAGCCCTAGTTTCAGATGTCTTGTTTTGAGACATTTGAAAAGCTGGAGCATCAACACTTTTACGAAAAGAGTTGCAGATTAATTTTTGTATAATAATCTGCACTTTTTAGCCTAAATAAGACGTTAGCAGTGTAAACCTACGAGCCTGGTTGGCTTGTGCCCAACAACCCTGGAAGCTCACATCTGAGCCTCACAATAGACCAGGAAGTGAGGTGGGATGTCTGAGCTGTTTGGAAACAGGTTGTGAATGGAGCAGACTTCTACAGATTCTTTCCAAACATCCCAGTGGGAGTTTCCTGGAGACGGAGAAGTGGCTCGGCCCTTTTATGGCCGTGGGTGAGAGGCGGTCAGGCGGAGAGGAGGGAGTTCAGCCGAGCTGAGCAGGAATGTAAATGACTCCTCTGCTCGTACCTGCTGCTGGTGTTTGAGGAGGGGGGGGGCACATTCCTGCTCCTTGATGTCAGGTTACTGTGACACTCCTCTCAGTCACAGTCAGGAGGAGGAGGAGCCATCAGGCTTTGACCTAATTCAGGACGCACAGCTGGAGGTTTGAGCCGTCAGCTGCTTCCACTGATGAAAAACACATCTGATTTCCAGCAGCAGAACATCTGCCGACAGGAAAAGAGTTCGTTTTCACCAAGTGGCTGAAAAATGAAGCCGACGAGGGAGTCGGGGTGAAGTTTAATAAAACTCAGCTGTTTCATTTATATTAAGGCTCAAAGTTCTGTGTAATTAAGAACGTGGCTGCTTTGAGTGACAGGTGGGTCACTGGCCAGATGGCGACGGCGGGAGACGCCCACGCAGAGGCTCCATCCACACGAGTAGGTTTCACGTTAGAACTTTCCCTCCCTTACAGACTAAATCTGCAGCGAATCTGAACACCTAAAACACTGAAGTCTGGAAACGCCGCAGGGCCCGTTTTGGTTTTAAACTCCGAGGCAGCGTGTTAATGCCGACACGTGAACATGTTTGGCTTCCTGATTGGCTCTTACCAGTCACGATGCTGCTGACAGTTTTAGGTTTGTTGTTTTTATTGTATTTATTTGTTGTATTCTGCGCTGTGTAAGTAACACTTCCACACTTCACTGTGCATGTCGCCGTAATGTTGTTGCCACTACCGCCCAAACCAAGACCAAGACCGGTTCCCCACATTACATGACACATGATAAAATGTTTTTTGTCTTTTAATGACCTCTCCTCGCCGTGTCTTCTTCTTCTGTGGTGGTTTAACAGCAGCCACTGCAGAATCTTCTCCTCTAGCTGTTTATCTTGAGGAACCAGCTCCTAATATTTACACAACAGTAGTGGGTGCAAATGTGATTTAATTTGCATTTTCTTTTACCCGAGTATCTTGAAATTAGGTTAAAATATGCAGCTAGAAACCAAACCAGTGTCTGTAGCTCTGAGGGCGGCTCTGAGCGTATCTGGCTCCAGTCCAGCAGAGACGGATCGATGCTCCTAATGGTTTAAGTGCTGCTGGAGCAGAAAGCCGGGCGTGTGAGCGGCGTCTAATGCTGCTGTGGTTTATTCCATTAGAAACAAAGCTGCTTCTTATCTTGTTAGTTTAGCAGGGAGCAAACACGGCAGCGTTCAGCGTTGGACGTTTCTCACGCCATGACTCTCCTGCTTCATCTGTAACAACCAGCTCTGCTGGACTGAGCGACACACTGACAGGATCGTGAGGCTTTACTGATGTCTTAGGATCGCAGGTACAGACGAACATTCAGCACACTTCAGTATTTGTCTTCTTACTGGACAGGTTTTTAAGTCCCGCCCTGTTAAAGAGGCTTTCACATGAACAGATCGATGAATCTCACTGTGAGTCAACACTTCAGTAGCTCCGGTCTTTGAGACGAGCCGTTAAGTTTGGGTGTAACCCCAAAAGGAGGAAGTCAGGTGACGCTGTAGAGACACAAAGTCCACAGAGGGAGGAGGTCGTGGTGGATGGAAACCTAAATTCCACATGTAGATAATCACATAAGATCCACATAATGTTTCTCCATATTCAAACCGCAAAAATACTGACAAAGAAGATGTGCAATACAGACGTTCAAAATAACCCGTCACACAGCCGTTAATGTCTAAACCGCTGGCAGCAAAAGTGAGGACACCCTAAGTCCAGCCAGACGTCCAGCGGTTTAGACATTAACGGCTGTGTGATGTGTTATTTTGAGGGGACAGCAGATTTACACTGTTATACAAGCTGACACTCACTACTTTACACTGGAGCAAAGGGTCATTTCTTCAATGTCGTCACATGAGAAGATATTTACAGATATTTACAGGAATGTGAGGGGTGACTCACTGTTAGAGACTGTAGCTTGTAGCACAGGGTCAGCTGGAGGCTAAACAGCTACTGGCTCACTTAGGTCTTGAATAAACAACTGCACATGTTGGTTTGGGATCATAAACACTTTATTGATCCCCGAGGGGAAATTCTTGCTCACAGTTGTGTCAAAGCATAAAAGAATAGAAATGATAACAGAAAGATTTTTATTAATAATCTAAATAAGAGTGTGGAAAATGTTCAGTATTTTAGAGTATATGAGAGAATTTTAATGATAAATAATTATAAATAAAATATTAATAATCATGTTAAATAAGTAAAACTTTAGCTAACTTGTTAGCTAGCTTATGTTAAGTTGTCTCTTTGTTGTTGACAGAACAAAACAAACGTGGCTCATGTGCCTGTTAATCTGAGATCACACTAGCTTTGGCCTTGAAGAATTATTCTGGAGACTCTTTGTTGATCCGCTCTGATCATCAGGTCTGCAGAGGCTGAAGGTAAACGCACCTGATGTGACTCTACGCTCGTCATTAGCTCGGTGGGATTTGTGTCCCTGTCTTTAGAAGCTGGACCTTCCTGCTCTCACATGGTTTTATTTTCCCACAGCAGGTGAAGATATGAGATACTGGACAGTAAAAGCAGGTCAGTCTGTGTGCGGCAGATGATCCCAGATCAGACTGATGCCCTGAAAAAGAGGTATTTAGTGTAATCCAGGCGCTGCAGAATCACGCCGAGCTCTCGGTGGTCAGGACCGTCTCCGTGCTGCTGAGAAACACGATCCAGTTATTTGAGTGGGTCAGCAGAGACGCTGGAAATCCTGCTGCTGGCTGTGATAATCCCACTGCCCAAAACCTCCAGGACAGTTTATTAGAAACTGTTTCAGTGTCGAGAGGATGTGTTTGTCCAGGTGTTTCCTGCCACGTGGTGACAGACCGGCCTCTGAATCATAAAGGATCACCTGTGACTTCACTGTGTGTCATTTCCTGATGCTGCCTTTTAAATGAAATGTAGTTCTTTATCACATCTCAGAAGCACAGGTGTCATTCACACCGGGGACGCTGGGGACGCTGGGGACGAAAAACAGAAACAATAAATGTTAACTGAGAAAAGTTTATTTGCACAATAACAAAACATGCATTGCAATTTAAATATAGAAGAAACAAATGTGCGTGGTCCAAAAAAGGAACTGAGAGATGGCTGATCTATCTATATATGACAGATCCACTCGTCCATCATGAGCTGATGAAGAGGCGGATGTTTGGAAATAGATTTACTTTACCTCGATGTATCCCGCTGTGCCTTGTCCAATCTCTCTTTGATAAACTGACCTGAAACACAACCCGCTCGACCCTGCGCGGCTACGTAAACTGTTAGGTCGTGCCCCGCCCCCTCCGATCACCTACTTTACGTTAGTAGCAGAACTTGACTTAAGTCATTTTAGTCCTGTGTAACTAACGTAGTTATTTTAACCTCAACCGCGATCATTTCCTAAACCTGCGACGTTTCACGACGTTAACCGCTAGTTTTATTTTGAAAGTCCAACCAGACATTAAATCTTTATTCTTGCTGACTTCACAGGGCTTCAAACGCCGTTAAAAAGCCACGCCAAGCGCCCATTTGTGACGAGTTGGGATGTGAACATGTTGCCTAACGAGGAGCAGTGTGCAGCCGCTGTGCAGCGCCCGGGGCCTCACTGAGGGGCCCCTTCGGCAGAGGTCCGTGTTGGACTTGAACCTGCGACCCTGCGGTTCCCAAGCGGACCGAGCTTCTGCCGCCTTCTCGTTAAACTGGGGGTGTGGGGGGGCACTGAGAGAAGGCTGGATGGAGGCATTAAGCTGGCTTTAACCCTCATTATGTGATGAGGAGGGAGTGATGAAGAAAATAGGTCTGATGTGTTTGTTTTTCTGAGGGGTCAGCTGACTCTGTGAGGGGTCACTCAGGAAGTCAGTGGATGTTTGCTCTCGGTGTTCAGTCTCACAAACTCGGACGTCGTGAACACAGAGACACGGACAGGAACAATGGCTGGCAGGTCACACGGGAATCAGACAGCTGGCGGCAGCTCTGTGCCCTGAATTCAGGCTTCAGGCTTCATCCTAAACCTTCTCAGGGCAGAATATCAGCGAGAGCAGGGGGGCGTTATCAGCTCAGCTTCTTCAATCATGTTGTTTGGTGATTTTGTCTTTGTGGTGAGGATAAAATGTTTTCCCACTACGTGAACAATAAAAGTTTTCTACATTTTCAAGCAGGAAATTATTTTAACAAACAAACAAAAACTCATTGTGTGTGTTTGCTACACAGAATGTGCATCTGAAAAAATATGATGCAAAAGTTTGCTGTGAGCAGCAGAAGCAGACTGAGAGATTAAAGGCTCACAAACGTTTGTTTGTTTTAGAAATTCTTTATTCTGAAATTCTAATAGTTTTAAGATGCAAGATCCAAATTAATCCTTGTATTACAGTAATTTCTCAACTAAATAGGACTCAGGTTTTTTGTTTCTGCAGACTGAGACACAAAAACTGTTTTAACTCCCTAAGTTGTTCAGGATCAAACCTGAGCTGTAACCTGAGTGTTTGGTTAGCAGCCTGGAAGACAGAGTTCAGGGTGAAGTGGTGACCCTTTCCTCTTTGACTTGTTTAACCACCAGCTACAACTCAAAATACCCGTCCCCACTATAGACTGTGGCCCCCGCGGACACACAGATCTGACCTCAGATCCGCTTTGATACCAGGACTCAGCGCCCCCTGCTGGACTCTGTGTGGTGGGACTCAGTCGGTCAGTGGAGAGTCGCTGACATCTGGTGGATTTATGCAACATGTTCACCAGCTCTGAACCAGGTCTGAACCAGGTCTGAGCCCGTGCTCTCCTTCCAGTCAGCAGGCTGAGTGTGAACTGGACTGTTTCCCACAATGCACTGCTGCTGGGGCCTGTCACAGCGGTAAATGATGAAATAAAGAGCCAGTAAACTTTTATTTCTGGTTCCAAGGTGCTTCACAGAATTAAAAACCATGAAGGCATTTCAGGGAGTGAGCTAGACAACAGATCTGGGTCCAGTGTGCTCCAGAACCTGGAGGCGTGTCTGACGTGTCCGCGTTGTGTTGCAGGTGAGCTGCTGAGCCAGCCGCGGCCCGACGGTCTGACCGAGGTCATCTGCCCAAAGAACGGCTCGGAGCGGGTCAACGTGGCCCTGGTTTACCCCCCGACGCCCACCGCGCTCAGCCCCTGTCTCAAGTGATCCGAGGGCCGGCTCGTCTCGCCGCTGCACCACCAGAGCCTGCACCTCCACCTGTGACTGTCCACGCCTCCCTCATCAGCCTGCTTCACCCCCGCCCCCCCCAGCTGAAGGCAGCTGACCGGATCCCTGCTTCACACGTACGTACTCTAACCTGCAGCCACACTTCTTCTTATTTCACTGCTTTATCTCTTGTCCTGCTACAAACACGTGATATACAAGATGAAGAGAAACTGACATCTGACTTAAACTCCTGTACTTTAAATATAAAAGAAACACATAAGAAAAACACAATTACACGAGAGTAGATCATTAAAGAGATCAAAAACAAGGAGGCGTCTGGAGACCTTTAAAGAGTCTGAACGAAGAAGTGATCATTTTAAATTGAGTTTAAAGGATGAGGCCAGCTGATGATCAGTCCACGCCGTTCTTCCTCCAGCTGAGCAACGTGTCGGCTTTTAGTTTGTGTTTTTAAAAACTTTGTTAAAGGACGTCGTGTTTTTCCAGAGTCGCTGCCAAACTTTGCACCAAACAAATCCACCTCCTCCTCTTTGTGGCTTCCTGTTACTCAGAATCAGTTTACATAAAATAGATCAAAATAAAAACAGATGTACAAAATAGACTGTGCACAATATAATAACGATAATAGTCTTTCATACATTCAGACGAGTAACACATCAAAACAAACAGCAGCACGCAGATTAAAGCAGGAGAAAGGCAGCAGACGAGTGTTTCATCAGTTAAAAGCAAAAGCATGAAAGTAGTAACATCTATAGCTGCAGCTTCTCTTATTTGTAAATGGAGTTAAACCATGAGGTGCTTTAAAAAACAAGTAAAAGAACTTTAAAATCAGTTCCAGTGCAGAGAAGCTAAAAGCAGAGTGACGTGTTCTCTCACTCTGGTTTCAGTTAAAACTTTTCTCTTAGCTGCAGCCTGTTAATGTTTTAGTATTGGAAGTTATTTACATGCATCAAGCAGCTTTAAAAACTTGGATGTTAGCGCGTCCTTGAATGGAAAAGTTCTCTACGTGTTTACAGACTCGTCGTTGTTCACGTTGCCTCCCAAATCCTTGTCTGCGGTCGAAATGGTCGCGCTGAAGATTTAATGCGCTGTTTCCTTCTTGTGTTGCAGGACGTTGGCGCCTGACGTCTCCTCACGAGACATCGAACAGTTTTTAAGGAGCGTGACGACCACAAACTTCACCGTAGCATCAAGCGTGGCCTGCTGCCTTCACTGACCCTCCACCAGAATCTCCTGCCTCCTACTTTTTAAATCTGAAAAACAGCAGCTGAAAAGGTGACGGACTCTAAAGGAGAATAATTTTTAACACTTACTGAGGAACTTGTTCAAATGTGGGCCAGGAGACGACTCTGAGGACTGAAGTATTCTGCAATATCTTGACGTGTTGGACCTGAGGACGGCCCTGAAGGGAGCGGGACTGTGTGCTGGTGTAGATATTTCTCTGTGAGGACATGTTGAGGCAGAACGAAGTGTGGGGCTGTCGCTGTGTCACTAGCTTGCTTTAAATTTTCTGGAACTAACAGGATGTTCTTAAACGCACCGCCAGAGGTCACTGAACCTGCTGCACACCTGGTTTCACGTCTGTACAGTGAGCTGCAGCCGGTTAGCTTAGCTTAGCATAAAGACCGGAAACAGGGGGAAACAGCTAGCCTGGCTCGGTCCAAAGGAAACCAGGTCCACCTTCCGGCTCGTCTAAAGCTCCCAGACCAACCTGAGAGTTTGGTGTCTAAATCAGAGCTAAGCTAGTCAGATGCTAAGTGACACAGCTGCAGCTCCATCATGTCTGCGGTTCACACCAAACTCTATAATGCCGGTTTCACACACAACAAGAATTATAAATTCCCATCGCGTTTATTGCGTGAGTTTGACGAGTGACAACGCTACAAAACACAATGAGCCATTAGTTCAGCTGTGTGAACCCAAAATAATGATTTAGCTGTGATTTAGTTTCAATAAACGGATCAAAATGAAGCTGAATTAACGACATCATGATGCCGATTTGTTAAAAATATGAAGTCATGCTTTGTCTGGACTGGTCAACATGACAAACTAACAACTTTTAAAATGCCTGTTTTCTGAATGGAGTTTGGATCAATCAGGGCTATTTGTTTCATAGCAGCTGTAATCGAGTAACAGACATATTTTCTGAGCTTACCTGGTAGTTCATCTTCCTCGCTTATTTTGTCGTCCCATCTGTATAAACATGAAGTCGTCCTAACACAACAGATGAGAAGCGCGAGTGAAGATTTTTAATCCAAAACATTATGAGTAAAAAGTTGAGATTTCAGCTCACACCAGGGAGCGTCGCCTGTGATGCTCCACATGGTGGCGCACTTCACGTTGCCTCCAGCGCGTCCCGTGTGTCGCCCGGCAGGAAATCGCACCGCGTTGCGTGTGAAACCGGCGTTAACGCGACGGCAGCAGTCAGAAAAGCCTCTTCCTGCTCAGAGGTCGGGTTCAGCAGGAGACGGCGTGACGTTAACTGGCGAGCTTGTTAATCCGAGGAGGTCGGCGGGATCTGTACAGATATTTATCGACACCGTCTCCCCCGACCCCGACCACAGAGTTTCATTTCATCAGACTGTTTCAAGCAAAAGGTCTTTGTTTCATTCTGGATGTTTTTCACTGTTAAAGTCGACGTGTGTTTGGAGGGAGATGTAAATAATATCTTTATTTTTGTATGTGGACTCGAGCTTTGACTTTATTTCCAGTGGATGTTGTGCATGACTCACTGTGAGAGCACACAGGGTTTTATATGTAGCTGGTTCCAGCCTCTCACGGAGCAACATGAAGTACCAAATACAAATAAACCGGCTGAAGTACCACGCAGCGCTGTGTTGTTTATTACCAGTACCACACAAGTAGGCTACATGAAGAGTGTCTGTGGGTGAAACTCTACTCCTGAGCATTAATAAGTAGTATACGCAGTACATAATGCAGAGTACTTTCATGTGTATTAATGTATTTGTCAACAACTTCTCCTGTGAAGCATCTGTGTATAAAATAAGGCTGCAACTGAATTTTGTCATCATTGAATAATCTGCCAGTTACTTTCTTACAAAAACAAGCATCGGAGTATTTAGAAAAGCGCTATGAAATAAAGATGGATTCATCTTGTGTCCTTTTAGAAGGTTGAAACAAGAGAATATTTGGTATTTTTGCCTTTTTCATTAATGACTTATTAAAATAATTGGTATTTTTTTGTTGATCAACTTGTGGAATAATTGTTTTAGCTCTAATACGTTCACATAAATAGTTATTGGTGATGTAAAAATGACAATTTTCCCAGAACACTATTACAACAATAGTGATTTATTGACGGCCCCTAAGGTGAGCTGACCTCACTGATACTGCCAGCGGCCCCGTCCACACTACTGCGTTTTCCTATTAAAACGGAACCTTATGCTGATTTTGCACCTCCCGTCCAGACTAAAACGTGAAGTTTGAAGATGGACGAAAACGGAGACGCCCGCGTTTGGCTCTCTGATTGGGTCTCATAAGTCATGCAAAGCAGAAAAACGAAGCTGCTGATAGTTTTCAATTTGGTATTTATATTAAAATGTTTTGTATCGTGCAAATAACACTTACAGCCTACACTGTGCATGTCGCAGTTTACTTTGCGGCGACTCTGTTTCCGCAGCCACAGTGTCTTTGTCCTCCCGTGTTAGATTCAGTAACAGTCCAAGCTCGTTATTGGTCCGTGCAAAAAGAATCTCGCCAGTTAAGCGTTATGTGGATTTGGATTTCTCGACAGAGGTTACAAACACCTCTACGTCATCTGACTTGAAGTTCAATGATAGTTGATGTTTCTGCTCCATTTTCAGTGTATGTTTAGGCTAGACTATTTAGAGATAAGATAGGATTCCTAAAGTTAGTTAGGATTTGCTTTGCTGTAATAACCTACCAAACAGGGGAAAATCCTTTCTTAGACTCTTCCTATCTGAAGACTTAAGATAGGAACTTTCTGTAAAATGGCCCCTGGTCTGATTCTTTGTCTGTATTTCTTTATTCTTTCGCCAAATCATCTGTAACTACAGAATAGACCATCTGTTTCATGTTTACACCGGCACGCACATGCACAGTGTACATGAAGGGCCACTAGATGTGCGATTTCAGTCGTTTAATACAGATGGAGATCCATCCATCTTCATCTCCTTATCCGGGGTCGGGTCGCCGGACAGACTGAGATCAACTCTGATAAAACGCTAAAACCCTACTGATGACGGAGATCGTATTTAAAACGTAGTGTGAACGGGGCCTGGGTGAAACTGAAAGTGCAGCTGGATCCATGAGTGATTGTCAGTTTTAAGTTGGATATTCAACAAACTTTACCGCAGTGTGCACAGTAACATGCATCAGTTGTTGGTTTAAGAAGTCATGTTGTCAGTGGAACACAGACATTTCTCCCTGAAGAACACGGCCCTAACCCCTTTGTACACGAGTGAACCCGAGCAAAATCATCTATTAAATCTAAAACATCAATTTATAACCTCACAATGTAGTGACCTTCTGATTACAAAACTTCATGAGGTGTCAGGAAAGGGCCGACCCAGTCTACCTAATGTTTCTGTATTTATGCAAATTACTGAATTTGAGCCAGTTTTTTCTTGTGGTGTCTTTAAAATTAGGAAATGATAGTAACGTCTCCGACTAAAATATATGTACGTATATTTCAGGATGTGGTGCTTCCCTGGGAAAAATCAATTTGGATATAAAATAAACTGTTTTCTAAATATGGCTTTCCAAAAAAAAGTGGACTCTTGGCTCAAGTTGCCCCCAATGAGGGGTAAGTGTGAGCCACATGGGGGTCCGGGACATCAATGTCATTTCACGATGCAAACTCAACAACATTTAATCAGTGAAACATTGCAGCTATGTCTCCATGTTGATTCAAATCCACAAGAAGAGTTGAAGCCTGTCTGTTTTCCATTTATAGAAGCATGACATGATGGTTTCTGGACAGAAATGCATAATGTCACATCATTTCAGTGATGCATTAGAATGCAAAGTAAAATATCTGGCTGAATTTCTCCCAGACCCCAACCTGCCATTTTAACAAAATTGTGTCATCCAGCAGTTTAAGTGTAACGTCATGCTAACAGTATGGCCTCATATTGTAACTTCCTAAAGCACTAACACATGCGTAAGATTTTCTCAAGCCTGTCTGTAATTGTTCAGACACAAGAATCAGGACTCACTGAACATGAAAAAAATCACTTTGAACGGTAAAACTTTTTTTTTTACAACAAGGGGTGGCTCAACTTTACCACTGGCTCCAATCACCCTGCCCCGCCCTATTCCTTAAACCTTAGTAGTCACTATTAAAAGTTTGAGAGTAGCCTGTAACGTTCATCCAAAGTAACAGATTAGCCTAAGCAGCCTTTTTCAAATAAATAAATTGATTTATAAGTTATACAAATAAATCAGCACTCTAAAGTAATAATGTGTGGAAGAAATACAACAAGTATGAATTATGTTCAATATTTAGGCTACACTATTTGTTTATTTATTGAGTTTAACTATCCTTAAAATGACAGTTAAAAACTCGGACATTTTATTTTGGTCTCTGTTTCCGGTTTTCACTTTCTTGTTCAATTTCCATTTTACAAGTTGGATAATGGAACAGGCCGAAGCTTTGGTGCGCTATATTTTATTGCGTGTCTTCATTCAATGCGACAATAACACAGCACAGTGCTGACATTGTTTAGGCAGCAATGAACTCACATTGTTCAGTAAACATTTGCATTAGTGCAAGTAGGTCAATGAAATTAGGAAATACTCCCCTAAACTGGCTGTTTTCATCATACAATGTGAACAACTGCAGATGAATTATACTTCATGTACAGTAGTCTGAATCAGTCATCAGCATAGGAGGAACTCAAATCAAAAACGTGTGAATGTGAGGACTTTTTGAAGTGAAAACTTTACCTTAAAATTAAAACAACAAGTAAACATGTTTCTGTGTGTGGAAAGAAACAGACGGGAACATTAACAGAGAAATAACTTTCTGATCTTGGTTCATGTCTTCCACATTGAGTAAGGAGCTGCCTCTTTGTTTTGATGAGGACAAAGACTCTGGAAACAGAAGAAAAATGAGGCTGGACTTGGAGCAAAAGTTCTCAAAAGAGTTGTGAAAGTCCAGACTTCTTTTCTTCAGGACTAACCGGAGCCTCCAGCTGTCACTGCTAATCCATAAAATACATCCGCCTGATTTCAGAGGATTTCTGTGGACCTGAAACATCCAACATCATCCAGGAGGTAGGACTCACTCCCAGCAGCAACCTGTCCGATGGTTCATGTAGCGCTGGGTTATATTGTTCTAAAGTGTCTTTTTATTGCACAGACTGCGACAGCCTTCATGAGATCAGTGAGGGATGTAAAGGACACAGTCATGGCTGGAACAGCTCAGCGTCTACATATGGCTGTGACACTAAGAAAAGTTACTCTTTAAACCTGTAAACAGCGGCTCCTCTGTTTGTTGCTGCTTTTTTTATCAACACTAACGAAACTTGTCTCCACTTTGTGTCAGAACACTGTGGTTCCATGGAGCATATAGTAGCACACAATATAACAAGGGTTTTCTCATGGAGAGCTTTTAAAATGTACAACCTTTTATAACATTAAGACACACAAAGCTCTTTACCAAGAAAACACTTGGAGCTGTAAACAGTTTCCAACAGTTCAACCAGTATGCAGACCTTTTTACTACAAATCTGTGTTGTGCTGCTTTCAGAGTTTACAGCCTGTACAGGAAAGTATCTCTGGTTTCAGTGTCTCTCCGTTCACATGCAGCACGACTCTCTGAAGAAACTCATAAGTACACTTCAGGCTTTCTGGGTACTCAGCCTGGAGGACTACTGCAAGTACAAGTACATGAGTGTATCAGGGCAGCACTCAGTTTACTGCAAGTCATTGCATTGCATGGCATTTCCCTCTCCACTGAGAGCTGCAGGACTTAAAAATTAGGCAAAAGCATAAAATACAAAGTGTGCAACGGTTTCAGCGCCGTCAAGGTGAAAAGTGACATCAGTAAAGGTGTGAGGGTTCAGGGCTTAGGGCTCAGGGGGGGACATTGGAAGTGTTCTGGTGTCTAAACAAGATGGATCTTCAACTTTCTTTAAATCTGGAGTTTCTCTAAACCCAGCTCAGTGTCAGCTGCTGCTCCATCATTTCCTCTCTTGGATTGAACTCAATATAGAAGTCGAGCTGCTTTAATTTTCAGAGATGGATTTTCGATGATTAAAGTTGTTAAGTCAGAAAAACCAGGGAATAAAAAACATTGAGGAACTATACTCTTTGGCTTTTATTTAAATTCAGATGAACTGCATGTAGAGATCACAACTCTGTTTAAGGCTCATTTTTGATCATTTCAAGTTAAGTGTTTTAAGTGCAATAAGAAAAAGAACTGGAGGAACACTGAACGCAAATACATGAAATAAAAATAAATAAACACTAAAACCCAGCACACAAGCAGGCCTTCAGCATCATCATCGTATAGTTATTAAAGTCATCTCAGCCACCACTTTTAAATGAAAGACTCATCAGAAGCTCTTTAACCCTCCTCTCAACATCATTTGACCACAGCAATATAAACCTCCAGAAAAGATTATAATTAAGGTATAACCAGGTTATGTGTCAGGTACTTCATATTCTTTGTTGACTCCTAAATAGACCTTTAAATAAATATAACCACTCTCCCTCCCCTTCTTATCCATCCAGAAAACTTATTACACGACAACAGAAAAATATGCAAATCACCATGAATCTCTTCTGATGACCTAAAATTGAACAGAAAGATCTGTTTGGTGTTTTAATGGCTGGATATTATTTAAGGTACAGATTTTTGTTATTTGTAACATTTGGAAAGAAAGATAGTTCCTGTTATCGAGGATGGTAACAC